CCCATCCTTGTGTTCATAATGATCATCACGATAATTCTCAACAGAAGGACTCGTCGAACGCTTATGAGACTTATACTTGTTATTGTCAAGTCGACAAGCAGCATCAAAGAGCTCTTCCAAATTTTTTGTAGGCTGAGAATGACACAAGTGTTGCCATATGCTCTTATTATGAATGCCATCAATGAAGTAAGACTTGTTCTAATCTGGATCCTTCATTGGAACACGGCTAATTAAATGAGTCAACTTCTCAATATAGTCCCCAAGCTTCATTTTCCCTTGTTGAAAATGTCAAAGTTTGGTCTAAGCATTTTTCATGTCATAGTGAAGGGCAAAACATAAATGGAAAGCAACCTCAAACTCATCCATCATAGACACTAATGGTTTTTTATCCGCAACACAAGACTCTTTTAGCCAATTTCACCACCAAAGACCCACATCACACAAAACCATTGGAATAGCCACTAAAGCTTTTGCATTTGGAGTTCCTCTAGCAGCCAAGAATTTCTTCACATTGGCTAGCCAAGCTAGACATTCATCCACATAACCATCACCAGAAAAAGTTGAAATCTTGAGTTAATCCACCAAAAAAGGCTTACTTGGAGTGCCACCACGACCAGCCTCAAGTGCTTCAACACGCTCATGCAAGGTACCCATCATGCTATGCATCTTGTCTTACATCTCTTGTTGATTTTTATTAAGGGCTTGCAACTCGTGAATAACATCTTCCATGGTCCAAAACACTACAGCTCCGTCGGCACCATCATCAGCACTACCATCGACAATAGGATTCCAATGTTCAACTTGGTCGGCCATCACAATTAATGCCTCTGATACCAATGTTATAACCCCGGCACAAAAATTCAACGATTTAGTCTTCCTAAACTAAATTACACCTCCTCTTGAACTCAACCACCCCCAAGCTACCTCAAAAGCTCCTCTACACTGTCACTCTTAAATTCCTTACCCTAACATGCCTTCATAAACCCTTGAGCCTCCCTTTGACCAATGTTGACCATGATCGCCAACATTAACACTCAAAACATTGAAGTCTTCTACCATACCCTTGATCTCTATCCCCAAACACAAGCATGCTTACTATAGTAGTTTCCATGATCATTATAACCACCTAAAGTAATTGCTATTTGCTCTTCAAATGTTTCTCTGGGTTGAGATAAGCCATACATATGTTCATCTTTTCCATTTCTTCTCAATAAATTATCTTCTCCAATGCCCTATAAAAAAGAGCTTGGATTGTAACACCTCAAGAAAAATAGAATCAAATGTGAGTAGAGTGTTACCTTTCAGCCACTGCTCGCACCTTGTCCAGGTCCGCAAGACACAACCAATAAGCCATGCATTTGATTCACATGGAGCTACTATTTGGTGACGCTGCTACAAGCCTTTCAAAGTCGTCCTTGGTCTCTGGAGGCTGGTCCTTCTGTAATAACTTCTCTTTTGCTGCAGCCTCCCTGTCAAGAAGCAGGACATGAGAAGACTAAATATAAACAAGAAGTAACTCTGCTCTTTCAAGTCAATTGGCACTGTATCCTCAACGTCTTTGTTGAGAGTGGATCCACATGCATAGCTGTGGGAATCGTTTTGATGCCAGATCCAAGTAGTCCTCCTCCTCCCTCTCATCATTATCCATGAGCACATTTGTGTTCGAAGGCTCTTCATTTATAGCTTCTTCCTCCATCGGCTCGATGCCATCCTCAGGGGTCAGAAATACCGCTTTCATTCCAAGAGATATACGTTTGGTTTCAGCATCAACCTGTAGAGGGAAATCATAACCCTGTGGTTTTACTAAGTCTTTCGTTCCAACCTTTAGAATCTTTACTAGAACCCATTGGCGAACTTTGAAAAGTGTTGACAACGCTTGAAAAAAATCGTAAGACACTTCAGAGACATGACACAAGCAACCTGGAGCACAGACTAAAGTTTCAATGTTGTGTATGC